TATATTTAATCATACCGGCGTTTGTGGTTGCATAAGACTTTGTGGTGTTGCAAAAGTAGGTGCTGTTGCATAGGCATGCATAGTTTTTTGTGGCGTCCCAATCATAAGCATTCCACTTTGGATGTTTGGACTCATAGCATGCAATTGTTGTAATTGATATTGTTGTTGTGGTTGTTGTGGTTGCTGCGATTGTTGCTGTTGCTGTTGTTGTAACGCATTAGGCAAAATTTGCTGATCCTCCTCTGGCTGATGTAAAGGAGTACCAATGCTTGGTATGCTAAATCCGGGACTAGGCAACATCTGATCCATTTTTTTCTTTTATGTTGGAAAATACAACAATAGCAAATACGTAACTCCAAAAAATGTTGAAATAACTTATAGGTAGACAAATAATTGCTGAAGATTCGTAAACGTGCAGTACACTTCTATAATATCAATGGTGCTCATATCTTAAAAATCTTAAACCATTATATTCATAGGTTATGTTCTTCGATAAATGATACTTTGAATTTCTGTCATTATACTTGCTGAAAAAATTAGTATATAAACTCCTTACACAGAAATAAATTCAAAGTTTTATTGTATCCTTGTTCTTATTCTTATTTCTTACTCATTCTTGTTTGTTTACAACTACTTAATTTAAAGATTACCATAGATTTGTAACTGCTAAGGTAGGTTTGAATTTTTCTCGCCACTAACAGAGATCAGTTTCTTTTTTCGAAATTAATTCGCAACGATTAGTAGGGAGGTGCTACGATCGCCCAATTACAACGCTTTTCCCTGCTTCGAATTATCCTTGCGTAATGGCGCTGCCAACAAAATGTAATACTTTCATAAGAATGAAAGTAAATTAAAGTTTTATGGAAACAAATTGCAAAACCGCAAGTCTGAAAGAAATTCATAAGTTAAGGGTTAGTATTAGTACATAACTACACATAATTATACAGCGCAAATGAATTAATAATGGAAAGAAGTAGGCAAGGTTAAACTGTTTAAATATTGCGGGCTGTGTAAGGGCGGTTTAAGAAATGGGCGATTTAAATCTATTGACGTTAATATATTCTGAGTTCACGGATAAGTTCTAATATACAATTTTATATAAAATATAAACAGAAAGTACATAGCTATGATATCAAACCTTGATTTTGATGAAATCCTAACCTTGAGGACATATTGCAAAGACATTAGAATCGCTGAGGAGTTACCTGTTCAACAGCTATGCCGAATCTATAAAATAACAATTAAAGGAAATAAATAAAGAAATAAATAGGCTTGTATAATGTATAGATATTTTTTCTTGTTATTAGTAACAGGTTCTCGCTTAATTTTTTACATATCTTTATCTATAACATTTAAACAGACACGGTATTAGATTAGGTTTAGGATATTCTTTACTCTCCGGTTGTCTCAAAACGGCTGATTAGCCCAATCAAGTTAATTTCCAGCGAACTTAAATTCAATACTCATTTGTGTGGACCAGTCAGATGATAGCTAGAAGCCAATATAGCATCGAAGTAACCTGTCAAATACGATAAAAATTCTCGACTTTGTGTACGCTTAATCTTTGAACCACTGGATTCCGCATCTTAAAACTTACTTTTTTAGGTCGAATCGTCACGTCAGTAAATACAGAATTGCAAAGAGAAAGGTTCAATAATGTTTCGACCCCTAAACTAAAATTTAGCCTTTTAATCAAATCATACAAATTATAAATATTACATAAATGTGAGTTGCGTTGCGACGTTGTGCCACGTTACTATCTAACAGTAAGTACCTAGTTAGTCACCTTGTGATCATTCGTATTTATCATTCATATAATACATATATATATAAATGATTTATATTTGTATGTTTATATGTAAAAGCATATGGTGTACCACGAATGAATAAAACTAAAGATTTTTAATAGAAATTATAAAATACACGATGTATCAGGTATAGATGATAACAAACATACCTATTTACTTGTACAGCACATCTATTCTTACTAGTTCTACTGAGACTAAACTAACACACATAGAAAAGTTCAGATATGTAATTACTATAAATCTTCTAATTTTCATAGATTAAAACGCAACTAATATAATTAATAAATATATAATATAATTAATAATAATATAATTAATAAATTGAAAGCAAGGATAATAAGATACAAGGGAAAAGTTATTAAGAAGAAGTAATATGCCAGTGATGGAGTCTTCTAAACCATTATTAGGTAAAATTGCATATGTTTTTATAATTTCTCAAAAATAAAAGGCTTTAATAAAATTTAAATTATCTTTAATATTATTATTATTATTTTTCTATAAAGGAATAAAAAAGTTTCATAATTTTCTTTCAGATGCAATTTATACTTCTCAAAAGTATGGGAACGATGAGACTGGCAATGGTACTGATACTAATCCTTTTAAAACGATTTTGAGAGCAATGCGTTATGTAGGAAAAGAACCATTTCCACCATTTTATCAAGATTCTAACGAGGATGGAAAAAAATATGTGATAGTATCGAAATCACAATTTAAAAAAGCACAAAAAATTTGGGCAAGGAATGAATATAAAAATGAAGACAAACAAAAAAAGTTATTAGAGGATGAAGAGAAAAGATTGAAAAACTTGGAAGAAGCTAAAACAATTATAATTCAAGAAGATACCACTTTGTCACCTGCAATTTGTATAAAAATTCGAGATAGTATCTATCATCGAGATCAACGAGTAAAACTTTTTGGATGGGTGCATAGGCTTAGACGTCAAGGTATAATATATATATTTGTAACCTAAATTTTAAATTATGTATTCATTTTATACCTACTAACTTAGCATTAATATCTCACACCTTTTTAGGGAGGGCACTTATGTTTATTACATTGCGAGATGGAACAGGCTTTCTACAATGTGTACTTAGCAATATTTTATGCCAAACGTACAATGCATTGACCTTATCCACAGAAGCTTCCATTGAAATATTTGGAACTCTCAAGATCGTACCAGAGGGAAAAAATGTATGATACCAGATGTAATTTTGACAAGAGCTTCTCAAATTTCTATGTTTCTTATCCTTTCTAGGCTCCGAATGGACATGAATTACATGTTGATTATTGGAGATTAATAGGAACATCTCCTCCTGGTGGTGCAGATTCCATTTTAAACGAAGAAGCTCTTCCTGATGTGCAGTTAGATAATAGACATATTATGATTCGTGGTGAAAATGTAAGATAATTGGTGTAATTAAGCCATTTATTAAAAGTCTAACTATAGAAAAATAATAAATATAAATTTTCATTTGATCAAATAAATTTCAGTGAATTCATTTGTTTTAGACATCTCGCGTATTACTTGTGAGATCTGTGTTGATGCAGGCATTTAGGGATCACTTTAATGAAAAGGGTTACAGTGAAGTAACACCACCAACATTAGTGCAAACGCAGGTAGAAGGTGGATCAACATTATTTAAGCTAGATTACTTTGGGTAAGCATACCACTTATTTGAATTTATACTTGTTCATTAAAACAGCATTGTATTTTTAATCTAATTTAATTATCATTTGAGAATTTAACCTTTTGTTTTAGAGAAGAAGCATTTTTGACTCAAAGTTCACAGCTTTATTTAGAAACTTGCCTTCCAGCAATGGGTGATGTATATTGTATTGCACAGTCTTATAGAGCAGAACAATCTCGGACTCGGAGACATCTTGCAGAGTAAATATGCAGAATTTGATGTTTTTTCTATAATATTCAGAGCGTATTTTAAGTCAAATTCATATAAAACATTTAACTTCCAGATATACACATGTGGAGGCAGAATATGCATTTATTACATTCGAAGAATTATTGGATCGATTAGAAGATATGATATGTGATGTCGTTGATCGTGTCCTTAAATCAAAGTTTGGTTATTTAGTCAAGGAATTAAATCCTGATTTTAAAATACCACGAAAGCCATTCAAAAGAATGGATTACAAAGATGCAATCGAATATCTTCAAATTAACAATATAACCAAAGATGATGGAACATTTTATGAATTTGGCGAAGTACATTCAATAAAATTATTTGATTATTGTTTTGCTACAAAATTCTTATCTTTCGTTTTATTTACGTTAGCGGAAAAAAGGAGGGAAAGAAATAATAATCTTTTTCATCTATAGGACATTCCAGAAATGCCAGAGAGAAAAATGACCGATATAATAAATGAACCGATAATGTTGTGTAGATTTCCTGCAGAAATCAAATCGTTTTATATGCAACGTTGCGCTGATGACAAACGTCTTACAGAATCGGTGGATGTGCTTTTACCGAATGTTGGTGAAATAGTTGGAGGTTCGATGCGTATTTGGGACTATGATGAATTGTTGGAAGGCTATTCTAGTGCAAATATAGACCCAAAACCATACTATTGGTATACCGATCAGGTAGGCATCATTAATTCTGTTTGTGATGACATATTGTCTTATGTTAATTTTGCTAAATTTTTTATGCACTTTTCTTTTAGCGAAAATATGGAACTTGTCCTCATGGTGGATTTGGATTAGGTCTTGAAAGATTTTTATGCTGGCTTTTGAATAGATATCATATACGCGAAGCATGTCTTTATCCACGTTTCTTGGAACGTTGTCGACCTTAGAATATAAGCTATGAACATTATCATTTATATCTGATGAATGAATTTGCGTTATTAACAGATAAATTATTGCAAGCTTTCAGAAATTTAATTCCGACAGAATTATTGGAAAATGAGAAATTTCTGTATTCAGAAATAAATCAAGATTAAAGCAATTATCAATTTATGAATTTGTGATTTATGTTTGTACATATCAATGTATTAGTATATATTCCGATCGGTGACCATTACGGAATGAGGTGCGATGTATAAAATAAGAGAGACAATAGTGAAGAAAATGTTCTTATGTTTCTCCTAACCGTCGTAACGATCACCTATCGGAATATATCGCCATCATTGGATTGACATGGTCGGTGACAACGCCGAAAATCAAATAAAAAATTAGCCAATTCAAGAAATTTTATTTTCAAGAGTGCTAAATGATTATATAAATAAACCACTATATAATTAATTAATCAATAATTATACTTAAAGTTAGTATTTTTATGATGTATTTTAATCCAAACAAATTGAAGATACTTTTCTTGATCCAGTTTTAAGACTTTCTATATCATATTGCAGTATATGTTTTTGCTGTATTTGATTATAAAGAATATTTTCAAGTGCAACTATGTCAACTTTGTGCTCATGTTCTATTTGTAGCATATTTTCCTGTAAGATGAAATAATAATTAAGTTAAATAATCTAAAAAATGTAAATTACGCAGTATATTGATATATGTAGATGCCACAAAATTTCTCTTACTTCTGAGAGTAAAGTTTGTTTCAAAATTTTTCTAAGTTTGATCTTTTCTTTTTCTAATATTGTCAAGAAACTTAATTTTTCGGTATTATTTCGAATTAAAGTTTTTAAAACAATTAATCCTTTATTACAATTCCATTTTGCATCTAACAAATTTTAATATTAAAATTGTTTATTAAATTTTTATCAAAATAATTTTATAAAATTCCAAATTTTCGTAATTTACTTTCTATGTTTTTAGATAAACTCTTCATAATTTTCCGTACATCAATTTTTGTATCATAAATTAATCTTTGCAAAATAGTCTGATAAAGGTTAATCAAAGACACTTTACAACCAAATTTTTGTATCATTTTTTCTTTAATGTGTTCCTTCAGCCTCTTATTTTGAGTTTCCATATATTTTAAATCCAATTTTATTCGTTTTAGATGTACTTCATTTTTCCTGCAATAAACCATAAATATATTCTGTTTTTAGAAATTATTATATTTTTTAGTATACTTGCGGGTTTGTTCTAAGTTGTATGTTTCATCTTGCAATTCTCCAACTCTGGCATATAAATTCGCTAATTCTTTTTTATTAAAAACTATACAATTTTGAATGCTTGCAGTGCATCCAGAGTCTAATATGTGCTGTAATTGATGAAGTTTTAATATGACTGTTACATTAATTTCATTTAATTTTTTTTGCTTATCCAGCTATGAAAATTAAAACACTTCAGTTCATAAGTTGTTTTGCAAATTATTATATATATAATATAATAATGTTTAAAAATACCACAAAATTTTGCAGTTCTTCCTCATTGTGTTTTAAAGTACTTTCAATAATTCTTAAATGTTTGATATCAGTATCTAATTCTTTCTGCAATAATTCTATTTCTCTTTGTTCTTCTCTGATTTGCAATTCGTATGTATATCGTTTTTCTCTCATAGAAAATGCCATGTCATATAATTGTGTATCACAGCCCACTGGGCAGATATTTTCATCAAATGGAATGTACTCAGCTTCAGAATCTACTGTTTCATCTGTTTCTTCAGAACTAGTTTCTGACGATTGTGTAATCGAATCTAAAGAACCTACAAATTATAATTACGAAAATTAACCACGAAAATTACCAAAGTTAACTAATCTAGCAAATTTAGCTCAACTAAAAATTATAAAGTTAAAAATTTTAGAAAGAAAATTTAATACCATTTTGTTTTTTTAGTGCTGTATATTTTCTCTTGAATATTTTTTGAAGGAAATTTTGAAATTTATTATCAGCAATAGCTTTTGTAAAGTCAGTAGCAGTATCTTTAATTTTTATATGCAATTTTTTTATTTCTTCTTCTCGTGCAGCAATATTAATATTTGTAGCTTGCATCTATTAACATCGTGTATTAATATAATGTTGTTAATAAATAATTGGTTAATATATAAACCATTATTATTTTTGTTATAGGGATAATAACCTTTAACATCATTGTAACACGTTCATTTGATTTATCAATAACTTTCTCTTCAAGTGCGTGTTCCATTGTTTCAGATTCCCGTAGGATCATAAATTCTTCGTATAGAGTTAACAAATTCAGATTTATATATGTACTTTGATATACTACGTCTAATCGATATTCTTCTAGTTCGTCTAACTCTTTTTCCAATTGTTTGTATTCGGCGCTGATATATCGTAAAATACAATCTTGTTCATATATTTTTCGCCACATTCGAGAACGTTTCATTTCACGTTCCCAGGTAGTTTGAACAGAGTCATTTATATTAAGATTTCGAATTAAATCACCAGCTATGGATGAATGATCCTTTATTTTCATTTGTGAAGCAGAAATAAGAATATAAAGACTTTCTTGTCCTTTGTGAAAGATAGCTTTATCATCACAATATAATACTTCATGTTCTAAATCAGAATGATCTATTAATTGATCTATAATTAATGATTGCCTTTGGCGTTTTACTTGTTGCACCTTTTCCGACATAGATACATATTTCTGAAGCTATAATGGTATTAATATAAAAAGGGATCTTACATAAATTTAGTTACAAGTAATCATTAATTATACCTAACTAACTAAAAAAAATATAACTAACTTCAAGATTATGTTCAGGAAATTCAATATCAAAATACAGTTTTGGTGGATGTGGTAAAGGTTTTATATTTTTTAATGGAATTTCTGTGTGAATTTTTTTAAGAACTTCTGTTAATTTAGTAACTTCTTTCTGCATCTTTTCTTTTTTCAATGCGATCGTTTTCAGTTTTGTATTAAAATTCTCTCGCAAATGATGAAGCTATAAAAAATAATTATGTCAAAAACTACTCTAACATTGAATTTTTTATCAATTTTACCTTATCTCTACAATCTATAAGTTGTTTATATTTTATGGCAGCAGTTTCTTTTTTCTTCATTAAACTAAAGTCTACATTCATTTTCAAATTGTATTCACCAATGGATTGTTTCGCCTTTTCGAGGAAAACTGCATCTTCCAAACGACTTTTAACTAAATTTGGCTTTTTTGCATGTAGTTTCTGCCACTATATATAACATATTTTTGAAAGATACACATTACTTTTATTGTGATCTTTTCTATAGTAAATTACTTACTTCCTTCTGTCGTTCAATCAATCTAGCTTCCTTTTCCTTGTACTTTAACAACATTCGATTAATTTGCAACCCTAATCCAGATGATAAATCGCTAAAATCTTCAGCTAAAAGTCCTTCCAAATATTGTATTTCTTGTTCTTCTGATTTCTGTTTGTCTTCCTTAACCTGTTCTTGCATTATTCTATAATTTAATAATAAAATGCATATGAAAAGAGTAAAATATCTTTAAATAATTTACATGACTAAGAATTAGTCAATTAATAATAGTTCATGCAAATATTATAAATAGTGAAGGACATACAAAGTTGTTTTTTCCCAGAATAAATTATTATCCAACTTTAGCTGCAATTCCATTTCTTGTAAAATAATTTAAAGTTAAGAAACATAATATAAATTTATACAATAAAAAAATAAAAATACCTGCCTGCTTTCTGTTGCTCATCTTTCTCCTTCAGCAATTTCACACATTTTAAAATGCTGTCAGTATCTAGGTGTAATTCTCTCAAAGAATATACTGCTCTATTTTCATCTCTATTTTTAAATTTTCATAAACAACCTTGTAATTTTAGTAAACACTATTTAATGAACATAATTAAAAAAACAATAATACTTACAATATGCCATGCACTGCAAAAGGTAAGTAAGTGATAGATGTAACAAAATGGTCCATAAGCTTTTGTAATTCTAATTTCCTCTTTTCTACTTCAAATTGCAGCTTTCGTTCTGTTAAGGTTTTATGTGTATGCAGTTGCTGTTCTAAGTCTTCAACTATTCTAGGATCCAGCTCAAACTGTGATATTCGTTGTGAATGCAGGAGATGTTTATTCCTTAATTAACGAAAGAAATCTCAATAATAGACTTTAACAAGCATGATAATTATGATAATGACAATAATAATAAAAGTAATAATAACAGTAATAATAACAAGAACAATAATAAATAAATTATATGAAAAACATTGAACCAAAGAATCAAGAAATATAAAATCCAGGCAATTCCAAATTAAACATATGTATAATTAATTATCACATTACAAAAGAGAGGACATCAAAATAATAATAATATAAAACAAGATCATTTGCTGCTTTGGTACTTTTCTTCTGTAATTAAGAAAACAGGACATATACCTTGTAATAATTTTAACATATTCTTCTGTTAAATCATGTATGATTTCAAGTACTTTTTTCTTTTTCTTCTCTGCAACTGAAAAAATTCTATCTTGTTCTATTTTAGTAATTACTTCTTCCAAATTTGGATAATCAGCATCTTCAATATCTTCGACACTTTCAGGCTAATTATAAATATTGCATTATAAATATTATAAGTACTAGATTTAACCTAATTGAAAAATAGTTACTGAGAAATTAACTTACTATAAAAAGAGAATTCTCTAACACTGGTACTTCATGTTCCTCATATGGTGTATCATCATTGATTTTAAAAGAAAATATATTTCCATCTTGGCCACATGTTAACAATATTTCTTTATTATAACCGAATAAAATATTAGAGATGTGTCCATTATAATAATCATGTGTTTGTAAAATCCAACAGTCTGAAAAATCTAATGGATCTTTGTCCTTTATCTTAACAACATAAAGCTGTCCATATTGTGTTCCCAAATATAAATATTTCTTATTTTTCCTAAAAAAAATCCGTAATTTTTTACTTTTATATATATATATATATTTTTTAATGTTTATAAATGTCCCTACTGAAAAAGGAAATTATGCATTTCTGTGTCTATTGCATGTTCGATTATTCTACTCCTAATGGGTTTATTATGTTTTAATTTTACAGATAATGGACGTGGATATTCGTAAACATATCCTGCATCAAACCCAGCCATAAATAACCATATGTTTCCATCAATGCCATATTGTGCTATTAAAACTTTATTTGGAATTTCTGGAATATAAATTTCTGGGAGAATCATTTCTTTTTCATCAAGCTCCGCTAAAAAAATAAATAAATACAAAAAAACAATATGCGATTTAAATTAAATTACTAAAACGTAACTTAAAATAAATAATTACTAAGAAATGTGTCTTCATCAATTATAATGTGAGGATTTTCAGCAATTAATCGTTCCATTTCTTTTCTCCTTTCTTTGAGTCTTTCTTCTTTCTCTGCTTCATATTTTTCTTTTATAATTTGTCTTTCTATCGCGGACTTCACTGATTCAAATTTAAATGATGCAGGTCTACATTTAACTAATTCATAAGAAGTTGTTGTGTATGACTGAGGTATCATAGGCAATTTTACTTCCATACAATCTCCTCGTAAGCATCCAATTAATAGAGTTGCTTCCTATTTATACGATTAATTATAATTATTGTTTTTTTATTACTATTTTGTATTCAATAACTGTATTTACTTCTTGAGGATTCCATGTCATGCAAGTAGCAGGTGATGGAAGTTTCACATAGCCAATAGGTGCAATTGCAGGATAATTATTAGTAGTATGAATATTAAATAGAAAAATAGTGGCATCATCGCTACCCGTTACTAATAAGCTAAAAATAAATCATATGTAACAATTAAAGTACAACCATTGTGTTCATATAATACGCACCTACAAGATGTATTTAAAGACATTACAGTAATTGGCATCGAATGTGGTTTTAAAACTTGAATTAGTTTTGTATTATCAATTTTTACATTTCCGGTATTTGTTGTTTGTATTGTTACTGTAATCATCCTAATAATACCATTTTCGAAAGCACATACGAGTGTTGAACCTGTTTTTTCAATCTAAACATTTCTCTGAAATAGTATTTATATAAAACGCTTAAAAATAAAATGAAATAATTTACCTTACATGGAAGCCAAACTACTTGACTACTAGTGTCGTAAAATTTATAAATCAGATTTAATCTT